AACCTGTCATTGTCTACTAATAACCAATCCTCGTCCACATTAGCAGAGGAATATTTAAAAATATGAGATTTGTTGTAAGAGAAATAAGTATAAGAACCCAAAAGGATGTATTATTTTGCGGCTTGCGCTCCGATAATTACCGGTCAAAGCATGTCAGACCACACATTTGTCCGGAAAGCACTTGAAAGACTTAATTATATAATTGTTCCTATAAATGTTCAGGGACGAGGATTGCCTACTGATATGAACACATATCGTGAATTTGAAGCCACAGAAGAAGCGCCTACTCCCATATTCGTAGGTCTCGTGAATTAATAATAAAATAGATGCTTTGCTTAGAAATTCCTATGATTCAAGCTAAACAATAATACTTGGAAAAGCTTCGAGTACAGAACGTGTTCATCGTGCACTATTTTAAACTAATAGACATCCAAACATACAGTTGCTTGACCATTCACTTATACCCTGAGGAATTTCCGAAGTGTAGATTCAGACGGGTGTATGTCAGCTGCTTTAATCTGTGTCGGCAAGTTAACGACAAAGGACCTGTGAATACTCTTAATACTGTGGAGACCTCTCAAAAAACCAAGAACCGTTTGAAGGATGTAAGTTGCCTTCACGTGGTATTCAAAGTCAAAATTGCATTAGGCAATCAGTCACGAAGTTAAAAAGAACAGATTTTACCACTTGCAAAGTCAACTGTTTGTGGCGTTTGGCGCCAGTTCCAGTAAAGTAACTAGGCCGGATAAACAGCAGCATTTGCTAGTCGGAAGATATTGTGTTGTGGTACAGGCAAACATATGCCTAACACGAAGGAGCAATGCCTTCGAGTCTGTTTTCGCTTAAATACTCGCAATGAATGACAATTGTGAGCCACAAAACATCTGACGCAGACAAGCGGCTCCTTTAGCGCGCACTCGAGCAGAATGGTATTCAAGGCAGTACCCTCGGCTGCCAAACTATCATCAGTCTCGAGGAGGTGAACAATGAGTGCCAGGTTTTCCGCACATGACTGTCTAGATATGTAGTTTTATGAGTGCATTATTTTGCGCTCTAGATCACAAAACTTAATTATGGTACTGAACGATAGAAAGAAAGTGCTGGCAAATAAATATGAAGTTGAAGCAATTGAAGTTTCTCAGTAGCCACACATTCCATCAGTCTAAGGGATAATATTTCGGCTCAAACAAACTGTGGAAGCATGCAGACGTGGTATATTTAACTTCTTAACATCAAAGTTCTACAAGAATACGCTCTTTCCCAATCCTCTTCAATTTCTTGATCTACTGGGTGATACTTCAATCAATTTTACCTGGTAGTGTACGTAAAACGAGTCCTGAATTCAGACTACTTGACTCGGAGTGTATCGATGACATTGTCGTACTTGGTGATACCCCTCAGTCACTACCGCCAACGCTAGACCGAATCACCAGCTTCGCTGCAACTGTTGGTCTTACGATTAATATTCGCAAGACGACTTTCCTGACTACGTACCTTGGCACTTTACAACCACTGTTTATCAGCAGTCAACCAATAGAAGGGGTTAGCTTCTTCCGTTATTTTGGCTCGAGTGTACCAGTCCACAGACAGGCAAAAAAAATCTGACCTGATTCGCGGAGGCTCGAAATACATTTGGGCTGCTAGTCAGACCATTCTGGTCTCGCTCAGAAATCAGCGTACGTACTAA